ATGGGGTGCTTTGTGCTCCACCTCATCTGCTTTGATGCGCTGCAAACACTGAATATGAATCAGTTGATACACTTAAAATTGGGTGGTTTTGAATCTTTGCTGTACGGTAATATTATATAAAGGGAGTGTAACATCTTTAGTCCCAGGGTGTTTGGTAATAGCTTGGTTTTGGGTCTTCCCAACATGTGTGTTTTTTTTTTCTTTTTTTTTGGGGGGTGGGGGGAACTAAATTAAGATCTAGCCTAAGTAGGTGATTTTGCAGAGGTTGGACTGCCTCTAGTGTGTCTTATGTGGTGTGTTTGGAAGTTATAAAAGGTTGTTGATGATCAAGTTCCTCTACTTGTGTAATAATTTTATCGTAAAACAGGTAGGCCAGTAGTTCCTTTGTTAGTTTGTTGAAAAAGTGATCTGCTTGGTTAAAGCATAGTCTACTTTGTGTAATTCTGGCTGCTGATATCTCTACCTTGCTTTCTCTCTTTCTGACACAAGCACACACGAATTCAATATATGTCTTATTCATTTCTTGATATAAATCATGCCTCTTGGTTTATTATATTCCTTGTACCATTTCAGCATCATGGTTTTTCTGTGTGTTTGATTTTTATTTTCTAAATACAAAAGTCAAGTTATTTTCTCTTCAGATATAAGTTTATGATTGTTTATACTTCTATTTCTATTTTTTTGGTGATTAGTAGGTTTTGGGTTGCAGAATAATATATTCTTGGGCTTCGAGTGCCTTAAGTCATGTCAGACAACAATTTCATCAGCAGAGCAGCTCCGTAGTTGAGGTTAATTGTGTTATTTTTTCAAACTTTGGATGTGCTTAACTTTCTTCCTTCTTATAGTGATTAAACGAGATATTAGCATCTCATGAAGTTAAAAAAATCCTTGGCGGTACTTTTTATCAGTTTATGTTTACTATTTGCTAGATTTTGCAGTGATTCTTGAGGNAAGAGATATTAGCATCTCATGAAGTTAAAAAAATCCTTGTGGGTACTTTTTATCAGTTTATGTTTACTATTTGCTAGATTTTGCAGTGATTCTTGAGGTTTTATTGGTTGCTGAACCAGGAAGGAAGAAAAAGTGGCATGAAGTCTAGCGGTTTCTGTACTTTTTGTGCTTAGGAAATTCTGCGTTGCTGTAAACTCCACAAGGATTAATGAACTTAGAATCTTTTTGATTACGTGTGTCACTGAATAGAATAATCTATGAGGGCTTTAAATCTCCTTTCTTTTCCTTTGGTATCAAACCAAACAGAGGCTCAGAAAAATTGTGAATATAGACTGTCACAAAATATGTTGCTTAAATTTTTATGTCTGAATGATGTATAAGTTCATTTTTTGTTCTCAACTCTTCAAAGCTTTATATGGGATCTGCCTCACAAATGTTTCCTCACCAGTCTTGAAAGATTTTCTGGATTCATATTCAGTCTTCCAATATAAGAACTAAAATTAATAAGAATTTTTCCAAACCAACATTTTCAGAATGCGGATGTTGGAAATATGCACCACTTAGCTCCAGTGGTCAACTTCTGCTGAAGTAAATTATGCATCATGTTATGAAAGTTAAAATCAGGGTCAATTCCTGCCTTAAAAAATTGGGTCAATTGGTGTGAGTATTAGTTTGAGTTTGTCCTTTCCTGTCCTGTAGTTACCATTCTGATCGCGACCATAACTCACTTACATAATATCTGATTTGCTTAGTAAGCTTGACCTTTAGTTTTCAAAGGGATCACTCATATGCAATTCCCTTTCTTTTCTTTTTTTTAAATTTCGCTAGACTCTTATGTCCACTCTATTGAATCCAACGATAATTATACTCTCTTTTTTTTGTTCCCAGGAGCAATTGGACCCATTTTCTCTTGTTGCCGATGAACTATCCATTGTTGCCAATGGGTTACGGTCAATGGTAGTTGCTGAGGTATTGGATTGTCATTTTTACTGTCATTTATTCTGCAAGATTTATGCTTGGAAGGGAAAGTGCAATGCAGGCCTTCAGGACCACTGGATTTTATCTCATACAGGTCCCAAAGCTTGCCGTGGCTGCTGAGTATTTCTTCAAGATAGGGGTGGAAGGCAAGAGGTTCCGTCCCACGGTAGGATTTTTTGTTTTTTTGACATATAATGTTTTGTTCATCTTAATGCTTGCTGAAAAATCTGTCATTTTGTAAACTTGTCAGTATTTAATCTATATACCTAAAGTGGTTTGACTTTTAGATTGTTTTTACTTGGAAGATGATTTTTATCCGTTGTTTAGGCCTTGTAAAAGGACTGGATCCTTTGTATTGGACTGACAGTGGAGAATTGGATCCTTGCTTTTACTTGGTGCCTAAATCAACGAAAGATGTTGCTGCATTTTTCATGACTTCATCATGTCTTTGATATTACTTTCCCTTTCTGTATTTTCAGCCAGAAATGTTGTGATTATATTCCAATGTCATTTGGCTAAGGAAATAATTAATCGATAGTCAATTGTTTTGAGCATGAAGTGATCATGTTATTTTGATCAGTGAACTACAACTAAACAGAGCCACAGCACAATGAACAATGTTACCTCTCCTGACGAACTATTGCTAATTAAACTCTTTAGTTACTTCACTTTGAAACAAGCTATGAAAAACCATGGTTAGAAGATAGGGTACAGGCAGCAAGGAGGATGAAAAGAATGGAGTGTAATTTTGGTCATCCATGATACAGTACGCATCTTACTGAATTTTTTTTTGTTCTGCCAAGACAGTTTTGTATAATTCAGAATGAACTGTTTATTGTACTTGTACGCCTTTGGTCTTCAAATGCATCTTCTGTCTGTATGTAGCCGAGATTTGATAAGTATTTGAATGGATTTAATTTTCAATGTTGTAATCGTGGATCACCATCATGGATTCTTCAAATAAAGTTTCATGTTTTCTAGATCTGGGTATATTACGTTATTAATGCTGTCCAGTACCATGCCCTTCCTGTTTTGGTGGTAACAGACATCTCTTTGCAGATTTTATTGTTGATGGCAACAGCTTTAAAAGTACATATATCTGGACCAGCACCTAATAGTGCTGTTGATACTTTATCCACAAATTTACGTACAAGACAACAGTGTGTAGCTGAGATCACAGAGATGATACATGTCAGTGTGGATTTTTCCCTTTTTNTACCAGCACCTGATAGTGCTGTTGATACTTTATCCACAAATTTACGTACAAGACAGCAGTGTGTAGCTGAGATCACAGAGATGATACATGTCAGTGTGGATTTTTCCCTTTTTTGGACTTTTCTTTTGTCATATAGTATGAGCTGTTTTATTATTTTTTGTCCCATAAGGGAGTTCCTGAATTATTTGTTTTTGTTTTTGGCATTGATTCAAAGAACATATATTTTTTTTTTTTTATCATAACTCTCTTTTCAACAGTATTCTCCTATCAAAGGGTCCTCAAAGGCCTAGACCTACTAAAGCATCATCAAAATGGCCTACAAAATGCTTTAATTCCTAATTTCCTTTATGTAGGCAAACCATTTATTACCCGAGAACAAAAAAGAGGACAGTTTTGGAATGGAGGCGAAAATGCTTCATCAAAATAGTGTCTTGTAACACGTGCTAAACCATATCTATCTTCCTTTCCTCTCATTACTTGGCGCCTTCTTCTCATTGTTTTCAGATTCTTGAGTCTTTATGCTATAGTGAGAAGTTGAACCATAATATGTAGAATATTATTTAAAAAAAGGTTCGTAGAGTTAAAAAGATATCATGTAAATCCTCCAGGGATCATGGGATCTGAAGTTTAAGAGAACCAAATCCAATAAATATCTAACTTCCTCATTCGATGCTACAATGAAGATGGGATAAGCTATTAGGTATTCATGAGCCTAGAAATTAAACAGTTTAACCAAAAAATCAAGATGTAGCTATAATCTGGACAATTAGGGTTCTGTTAACAAAAATAAGAGAAAAATATTCAAACTGGTTAACCGTGATTGCTAAATTTCAATTAGAAATTAAACTTGCAACTGTGGATTCCTCTCTTTGAATTTATGGAAAAGTCAAAATCTGAGAGATTACGAATTTGAGAGCAATAGGTTATGAATTTGAGAGAAATATGAGTTTAGATAAATTATATGTTCCAAAAAATATGATAAGAGCATGTTTATCATTATTCTCCATAGGAGATTTAGGACATGAGAAAATGTGGCAACCACTATGGGGTCATTAACGATTAACAGTTTAGTATTTCTAGAATGGTGCTCATACTCTTCAGTAACTCTTTAGAAACCACAAAGAAAAATGATTTTTGTAGGATGGTACTGGAATTTTGCAGGTTAAGTTCTTCATTCTGTTTTATATTATTGTAAGATGTATTCTAAGAGTTTCCTTTCCTCTTTTATATACATCTTACAATTCTATACAACAGAATGAGGAACTTGACCTGAAAAATTCCAGCTAATACTTGGATTTGAATTCTTAGATAAGAAGCTTCTCATGACTGAAATTGAAAATTAAAAACATCTTTATTTCCGGCTATAACTTAACGGAAAAGCATATATGAATCTAATGTCAGCTGTATCATATTTTGCNCAACAGAATGAGGAACTTGACCTGAAAAATTCCAGCTAATACTTGGATTTAAATTCTTAGATAAGAAGCTTCTCATGACTGAAATTGAAAATTAAAAACATCTTTATTTCCCGCTATAACTTAACGGAAAAGCATATATGAATCTAATGTCAGCTGTATCATATTTTGCTATATATCTTTTATAGTCAAAACTGTTGGGGGAAAGGAGTAGGTAATTGATGCTGGAAGACTGGGATTCTGGTGTTCTATGTCTGAACTACAATGTAAAAATTTTGAGGGAAGCAATCAAATGAAGAGAAGTAGGGTTAGGTTTGTAAATGGATGAATTCAAGCCTTTAGTTGTTTAAGGATCATTGGGCTTGAGTATGTGAAGGATGTTGATACTTGGGTTTCTGTTTCTTCATTTTGTTCTTTTTGGTTTTGCAATTTTATGTTCGATTTTGATTCAAGTTTGTATTTCTTATATCCTTGTCCTTTCATGCACTTTCCCACTTTTAGCATTGACAATATTTTCTTGTTTTGTATCAAAAGAAAAAGAAAAAGAAATAGTGGAATACATGGTAATTATTCAAATATAAGACAAACCCTAAGAGAATAGCTATATAGTCAAATCGTATAGAATTTATTTTGCTAGAAATCTTATGTTTTCCTTATATTCATGGAGATTTTACCCTTGAACTTATAATGCATATTTATCCTATTGCGTGATTTTTGACAAGGAAGTCAGTTACACGAGCGTTTTCAAGTGTTGGCTGACTCAATGCTGTAACCAAACAGCACTCCACTGCTACAGGAATAAATTGCAATACTTAGAAGAGTAGCTTGCCAATGTCAAATTAGCACTCTAAAGAGTTTAACCACTCTGACAGCTTTAAGATGTAGAACTCTAGAAAAATTCAAAGAAAAAGAACCCTTCCAGAATCCTATAACTGATGAATCCCAACTAAGTATAGGAAAATACAGAACTACCGAGGTTGTCAAAAAGAGTATCAGAACGTGTATTATTTTCAAAAAAATTTAGCGTGTGTCATAACTCATAAGATGCGCTAAATTTTAAAATAAATGAATGCATATGCATATGTATAAATATATGGTGCTCTAAATAATATAAATATAATTTCAACTCACTTATCCCTTTCATCGAGATATAATTGAGGCTTCGTTTGTTTGAAGAAGAAGAAAAAGAGGATCATGGGAGAAGATGAAGAAGGTCTCCGGCTTCATTTGTTTGAGCTCGAACAAAGAAGGAAAAAATAACCTAGAGGAGATGACACTGGTTATTATTTTGGATAAAAAAAAGTCTTGTGAAACGACATAATGTCACTGTTTAAAATAAAAAAATTGAACGAACTTGCCCTATACATATTGTTTTTTCACTATATTAAAACGTATTGTATGTATCGTGTCATATCTTGCTAACAACATTGAACTATTATTGTGAGATCNCGGTTATTATTTTGGATAAAAAAAAGTCTTGTGAAACGACATAATGTCACTGTTTAAAATAAAAAAATTGAACGAACTTACCCTATACATATTGTTTTTTCACTATATTAAAACGTATTGTATGTATCGTGTCATATCTTGCTAACAACATTGAACTATTATTGTGAGATCCTGGTGTTCCACATGGATTAGGGAGGGGAAAGTGACTGGGCTTATTAGTAAGTCCTTTGCCTTACATGGCATAAGGCCTTTTCCCAGGAATACTGGGAGGAACAAAGCCGTGAGGGCCAGTGGACCAAAAGCGGCCAATATTATGTCATGTGGAAGGGGGNCTGGTGTTCCACATGGATTAGGGAGGGGAAAGTGACTGGGCTTATTAGTAAGCCTTTTGCCTTACATGGCATAAGGCCTTTTCCCAGGAATACTGGGAGGAACAAAGCCGTGAGGGCCAGTGGACCAAAAGCGGCCAATATTATGTCATGTGGAAGGGGGTGTTACAAGTTGGTATCAGAGCTGACTCTCGCCTGGATTGAGTGTGGGCCCCTGACGTGCTCGCGTGTAGTGAGCTGGCAGGTAGTTGGCGAGCTGCTGCACGGAAACTTGCAGCCCTAAGGGAGGTGGATTGTGAGATCCTGGTGTCCCACATTGGTTAGGGAGGGAAAAGTGACTGAGCTTATTAATAAGCCTCTTGCCTTGCATGGCATAAGGCCCTTTTCCTAAGAATACTGAGAGGAACAAAGCCGTGAGGGTCAGTGGGCCAAAAGCGGATAATATTATGCTATGTGGAGGGGGTGTTACAAGTGGTATCAGAGCTGACCCTCGCCTGGATCGAGTGTGGGTCCCTGCCGTGCTCCCGTGCATGTGGGCGGGCAGGTAGCTGGCGAGCTGTTGCACGAGGACGTGCAGGCTTAAGGGGGGTGGATTGTAAGATCCTGGTGTCCCACATCGGTTAGGGAGGGGAAAGTTGCTGGGCTTATTAGTAAGCCCCTTGCCTTACATGGCATAAGGCCTTCCAGCGAGTGGTACTCGTAATGGGAACAAAGCCTTGAGGGGGAAGGGTTCTCCTGCCAAAGAGGACAATATTATATGGTGGGTGGGCCACTGCGCTGTGGTACTCTGATGGGGGTGGGCGGGTGTCGCCACTCTCGTATAAGGCCTTTTCCCAGGGGTACTGGGAGAAACAAAGCCGTGAGGGCCAGTGGGTCCAAATAGGACAATATTATGCCATGTGGAGAGTGGGGTGTTACAATTATCCATGAAAATTACTTGATATACAGTGATGCTAATGACAAACATAATTGTTTGAGACTTGCTTTTCTCCTCTTGACTCGGCAATTTGGCTGGATTAGAAGATATGCTCCGTGGGTTAAATGACATTGCTCATCCATATTGCTGGGTACTTAGTGAGTTTGTTCTAGCAAGTACCTGTTACATAGGCAATTCAACAATTAGCAGTTAGTTCGTATTGCCATAGGAGTGAATTATTAGGATATACTTGTCTTTATCAGTTTCTGTTATTTAGATACACGTTCAACATTTAGATAGTTTGATAGAAGGGTGGGGATACATACATTATTCAGAGGAGTGTAATCCTTTCTTCAGATGTGGTCGAAATTGGATTTTCAAAGTTGAGCTCTCCAAGTGCTTGTGGTTACTTTATTTTCTTCTTTCCTCTCTACAGTACTTGTTCTTCTTTGTTTTCTTAATCTTATCTTGTACCTTATATTTGCTGTTTTGAACAAAACATACTGTTAAATGTCCAGCTAAAAAAAAAACTGTTAAATGTCAAAACAACCCTAAAAGTACTACTTGTATCAATAATTCTGTTTTACTAGAGCTACCCTTAAATCAGTTTATGAGAAAAATTCAAGAGTGAATCTTCCATACAGTGCTGAAAATTTGAAGGTGCCGCACCCATCATTCTCGTGTGCCAACACTTGAACATGTGAGAAATTTGTGGTTTCCAAATCGCCTTTTTCTGGGAAGGGGAGCATGTCACCTAATTTGATATGAACTAAGACTTTTTTCTGAATTATATCATATTATTTGGAGCAGAATTTACCTTTCAAGTGAAGACACTAATAACTTATACCTTGTTTTGTATTAGGTCGCAAGTCTTCTCCATGATGATGTATTAGATGATGCTGATAAGAGACGGGGGATTGGTTCATTAAACTGTGTAATGGGAAATAAGGTACTTACTCTTCTTGTTAACTTGAAATAATTTATTTCCCCTTTTCTTCTTTGAATCTTTTGTCGACGGATGCTCCTATTCTCACCTAGTGTGTAGGTTTTGTTAATGAAACTAGTGTGGTTGGTTGGCTAAAACCTTGCTGATTCTTTCTCATAGTTAGCAAGGCAAGACACTTCTTGTAGTTCTTAATAGATGTAAATGATTTGAGTTAGATGATCTGTTTGCTAAGTGTTTGTAACAATTCTTCTTCCGTTGGGAAGAGAAAAGAAAACTCTCTCTTCCTCTCTGCATTTGTATATGGTTGCGTGTACGTTTCCATGCCCCCAAGTGCAGTGTAGGTATGCAGGACTTGGGAGTTGTTATTTCCTCCAGTGTTCTGGACTTTTGATCTTCAATTTCAAATGAGTCAATATATTCAGGTTCTTGTGAAAAGAAAAATCAAGAAGAATGTGGGCTTTGTTTTTTGATGCTTTCCTTTGTTATGCTGCAGATATCAGTATTAGCAGGGAATTTCCTGCTTTCCAGAGCTTGTGTGGCACTTGCCTCGTTGAAGAACACAGAAGTATACATTCTTTTCTTATTTTTCTTTTTATTGTTTGGGTGAACTTGTAAATGTAAATTAGCCAGCCTTGATGTTGGACTAGCTTTGCCAAAACAGTATGATTTTCTTTAATGAAAAAGACAACGTAAGGACAGGCTGATGGCCATAACCAAGAATGCACGTCCAGTCTTGAATATAAAAGGCTTGTCAAAGTTTGGAACTTGAAGATTAAAAAGAAAAGAAAGAGAAGAAAAGAAAGAGAAGGAAAGAAACCCTGTTTCTCAGGTACTTATGCTTAAAGGAAAGATGCATCGCATTTCCACGTAATAGGCTCCATAAGATGCCTTTNAAAAGAAAGAGAAGGAAAGAAACCCTGTTTCTCAGGTACTCATGCTTAAAGGAAAGATGCATCGCATTTCCACGTAATAGGCTCCATAAGATGCCTTTATTTGCTGCTTGAGAAAAGCGATAAATACCATGTATAGGCTCTTACCACATGACCAATGTAACTTGCTGGTCAAGTAATCTCGGGAAATCAAGTCTCAGGACTCGGACTCTCATTTTAACCCATTATATCTGTGTTCCAATTTTGGTGAACCCAGAATCAAATGCTCTTCATGCCAGCTCACCCTTTTTGGAACATAAAACAACTTAAATACACCTATCATTATAGGCTATAGTTTAAAAAAAATCTATTTCAGTCAAATAGAATGGGTATCTCTGGACACCCGTAAAGGAGGAGTTGCAGGGTTCCATTCTTGTTTTGATGTGAGTGCATGTGTATTACACACCATTACTAGATAACTATGCCTCAAAAATATCAATGGAGCTTCCATGTTGGTTACATTTACAATGGGTGCTTGCGTACAACTAGGAAACCTATATATTGTTATAACATAACAAGGACTAAAAAATATCACTTAAACTTTCAACTTTGTACTGTTCAAAAAAAAAAAAACTTTCAACTTTGTGAACTCCATAGGAGCTCTTTCCTTGAGATCAAACCTATTTTTACGAAGTTATGTTTTCATTGAGTGTCTCTTTCACAGGTNAACTTTCAACTTTGTGAACTGCATAGGAGCTCTTTCCTTGAGATCAAACCTATTTTTACGAAGTTATGTTTTCATTGAGTGTCTCTTTCAAAGGTTTCCCATTGTTTGCATCAATCTTCTTGGGGACCTCCACCTTTCCATTATGGATGTACAGATTGTTGCCTTCAATTGCATCCATCTGATTCCATCTGTTACGTGCTATTGTCGACCAGTTGACACTCTATGTCCATTACTTTTCTGTGAACGAACATCTAAATGCTGAAAGGATCGAGTCCGTGATTGTACTTCTTTTCGTATGTTTCTGCAGGTTTTATCACTCATAGCAACAGTTGTACAGCATCTTGTTACAGGAGAGACCATGCAATTGACTACTACCTCTGAAAAGCGTTGTAGGTATGCAGTCTGCTACTGGTGTCATGTATTTTATTTAGTAATCATGTTATATACTACTAGATCAGCCTTGCACATCCACATGGACGTAATTGTAGAAGGCAGCAGAGGAACCATCTAAACTTCTTCCATCTTGTTACCATATTATCATCTCGTGCTTCCTTTGAGTTGGTCATGCAACTTTTAAAGTATTTGATCGGAGACATACATATGACTTGGCAATACAGGAGTTGAAATCAACATTTTGCTTATGCAATAATTTTTTGTTGTTTTTTGCCCCCAACAAGTTTTCCCTGTTTGTGCAACCTTGACCAGTGGAAAATCTTTGTGGATTATATTATATCATTTCTTCTATGTGAAAGATTCATCATAGATGGGGCGGCGGTCATGCAATCATCTTAAGGTAGGTAAATAGAGGAGGGTTAAAACATAAAAATCTTCTCTCCAAGAAGCGTCTTGCATTTTATTAATCAGATTCGAGAGCTGCCATCGCCACTTGACCACAAAACAAAATACTCCCATGGCCTCCATTATGACCATTCTAAAAAAATTATTCATTGGTTATCAGCCTTGCACCAACCCTTTGCTTCCATCTCAGAATCTTATCCAAATATAGTTTTCTTATTGGCGAAGCATTGTGTCACACCTCATAATTGTAAAATTACCCTTAATGAAATCACTTGCCTATGGTGGGTTGCATTTGTTTTTTCGTTTTTCGTTTTTCGTTTTTTTTTGGGGGGGGGGGGGGGGTGTTTCAGAAACATCCTTTTATATATGTCTACATTGTAGCCGAAAAAGAACTTGTACGTGTATCTCAGAGAGAGTGGGGAAAAAACTTCAATTTTTTTTTTTGTCACATTGGATTAAATAAATGAAGAAAGGGGAAAATATGTTGAACATTTGTGCTATTTAGTCAATTTGTCCAAAACTTTGGGTGAACTTTGGCCATACATGTTTAAACTTTAGTAGAGTTAAGCTTTCAAAAGATTTGAATGCCCAACCAATTTTACTTGGATCATGGTTCTGGTTCACTTTGGTACATTATACGGGTGCGATATATCACTTTTTTAAGTACGCGGTATGATGGATGTAGTCCTAGTTTGTATTGTGTTTTTGGGTCGTAACTCATTTTGGAACTCTTATATAAATCGTTTTTTCCACTATATTATATATCATAGAATATCAATAAACAATAAGTCAGTTATCATTTATCTTATGTTTGTGCTCGATTTTCTATTAGCTAAAATAGTATATAATTATAAATCTATACACATGTAGTCAATTTATTTTATATTTGTGCTACATATTTCAAAGCGAATTGATTTTTAGAATTATAATTTGGGGTTATACATTTTGGTGATCTGCATCGTGAACTCATCTCATTTGAGATCGATATACCTAGATTGTGGGTCATCAGGAGTTTAATAACTTCTGGTAACCATGTGCCTAACTCTGGCAATATCTCAAAATTTTGGACAGTTTTTTGGTTGTTTCCCGACAATAGGGAAGAACACAGAAAGAACAAATTTGCCCCTCACACGAAGCAGAATAGAGCAGAGCATGAATGACTCTTGTTTTTTTGCTTCACATACGTAAAGGGTATATAGATTTTCTGTATTTGACAATTATATATATGTGTGTGTGTGTGTGTGTGTGTGTGTGTGTGTGTGTGTTTAAACTTGCATTTCTAGTGTTAATGATAGTAGCACAAGTGATGACAAATGAAATCTTGCATTGTGATGGCTAATTTATTGGCCATTTATTAATGTTTAAACTTGCATTTCAAGGCTTCTTTTTCAATGAATTATGTGGAAACAATCACTTGTTGCAGCATGGAATACTATATGCAAAAGACATACTACAAGACTGCGTCATTGATTTCAAACAGCTGCAAGTCAATTGCTCTTCTTGCAGGACAAACAGCAGAGGTTTCAATACTGGCTTATGAGTATGGCAAGAATCTGGTGTGTAGTATTCTTCCAACGCATCTTGTATCTGTTGTAGTGTCCAAGATTAAGTTTATTATATTGAATTCTGGGTTTTTATTGGCTGCATCTGCATGGACAGACAAATTTAGAAAGGTCAACAGAAAGTGAATTTTATATTTTACTGCACAGAATCATGCTTCTGTCTCTAGTCTAAACTATAGTGTCGCCAGAATGGAAGTTTGTCCTTTCTTACTCTGAACAGGTGCTAGAGGGAATGTTTTTTTTTTTTTTGGGNTGCATCGTGAACTCATCTCATTTGAGATCGATATACCTAGATTGTGGGTCATCAGGAGTTTAATAACTTCTGGTAACCATGTGCCTAACTCTGGCAATATCTCAAAATTTTGGACAGTTTTTTGGTTGTTTCCCGACAATAGGGAAGAACACAGAAAGAACAAATTTGCCCCTCACACGAAGCAGAATAGAGCAGAGCATGAATGACTCTTGTTTTTTTGCTTCACATACGTAAAGGGTATATAGATTTTCTGTATTTGACAATTATATATATGTGTGTGTGTGTGTGTGTGTGTGTGTTTAAACTTGCATTTCTAGTGTTAATAATAGTAGCACAAGTGATGACAAATGAAATCTTGCATTGTGATGGCTAATTTATTGGCCATTTATTAATGTTTAAACTTGCATTTCAAGGCTTCTTTTTCAATGAATTATGTGGAAACAATCACTTGTTGCAGCATGGAATACTATATGCAAAAGACATACTACAAGACTGCATCATTGATTTCAAACAGCTGCAAGTCAATTGCTCTTCTTGCAGGACAAACAGCAGAGGTTTCAATACTGGCTTATGAGTATGGCAAGAATCTGGTGTGTAGTATTCTTCCAACGCATCTTGTATCTGTTGTAGTGTCCAAGATTAAGTTTATTATATTGAATTCTGGGTTTTTATTGGCTGCATCTGCATGGACAGACAAATTTAGAAAGGTCAACAGAAAGTGAATTTTATATTTTANGTTACTCCAAAATGAAGGCATTAAAATGATCTGTGCTGTCCTTTTGCCTTGTTGTTCTTTTGCCCATTTGCTTGTAGTCCATTCCTCTNGCCATTTATTAATGTTTAAACTTGCATTTCAAGGCTTCTTTTTCAATGAATTATGTGGAATCAATCACTTGTTGCAGCATGGAATACTATATGCAAAAGACATACTACAAGACTGCATCATTGATTTCAAACAGCTGCAAGTCAATTGCTCTTCTTGCAGGACAAACAGCAGAGGTTTCAATACTGGCTTATGAGTATGGCAAGAATCTGGTGTGTAGTATTCTTCCAACGCATCTTGTATCTGTTGTAGTGTCCAAGATTAAGTTTATTATATTGAATTCTGGGTTTTTATTGGCTGCATCTGCATGGACAGACAAATTTAGAAAGGTCAACAGAAAGTGAATTTTATATTTTACTGCACAGAATCATGCTTCTGTCTCTAGTCTAAACTATAGTGTCGCCAGAATGGAAGTTTGTCCTTTCTTACTCTGAACAGGTGCTAGAGGGAATGTTTTTTTTTTTTTTGGGTGGGGGGGAGGTAAGAGTGGAATGTTAAGAATGAATTTCCAACAGAATATCAGGTCTCTTAGACACTCTTTGTAAGCTGTCTAGAAATCTTTCTCCTCTTACTGTAAATTGTTAGAATTCATTGTTACAGATGTTTGGTTTTTGAACTATGGGTAGTTGAGTCTGGCTTTATTTTTCTTTAGTGATTGTCTATAATGGCTGGCCAGACACATCACAATGTGGAGGACATTGCCATATTGTAGATTCAGCAACTACTTTTTGGTAAAATCACAGCAACTCCAATTGCCTTATGATTTGGCTTACATAAATGCAATGCGCTGGAAATAGCAATTATTGTAACTGTAATTATATCCAAATATGGTATATGCATTTTTACCCAATTTTTCTTTTGGACTAACTTCCGTCTCTCTGTCTTTCTATCTCCCCCTTTGCAGGGATTAGCATATCAATTAATAGATGACGTTCTCGATTTCACAGGCACATCAGCTTCCCTCGGGAAGGGCTCATTATCTGACATTCGCCATGTAATCTTTCTATTTTTTGCGTGTTATTGTTGTATTGGAATCTTGGTTGTCTCAGAGTTGAAAATTTTGACTGAAGCATTTGCTATATGGTTTGGCAGACAACTTTTTTGAGATCATTATGTTCTTTTAACTCCTTTTCATATCGGTTAGAATGAAGCACAATATGTCGTCAAGACTTGGACCCTGCACCTCCTCTGGGACAGTAGGAGATACCACTCAAAACTATTTGCTTGTAGGACTGCTATAAAGAAATATTCCTCGAGTGGCATAAGTTTAGGTTATCTGTTACATGATTTCCATCTTTTGAAACATATAGTATGTAATGCCAAGAACGTAGTAGCTGATATTAGATTGCTTATATTTCCTAAGTACTTGGTGTTGACCAAAATGACTTCTAAAGCGATCTCCAGGAATTAGGCTGCTGAGCTTGGAGCAGTTTTGATCTGACCAGTTTAATAGACCAAAATGACTTCTAAAGTGCCCTCCAGGAACTAGGCTGCTGAGCTGGAGCAGTTTGGGTCTGACCAGTCTAATTTATAACTTTCTTGGCAAGAGTAATTCTGAAGCCTGCTCTGTGAACTCTGCAACTTGGTGGAAAGCATCCGACAGAATGTTTGTATCAGATTTTTTTCCTTGGCACGTGAGAAACCTTGGTGACCCTTTGCACAAAAACTGCTCAAAACTAGTAAAACTTAGGTGTTTGGCACCCAATTGATATGTCCTCAAAACACCTTTTCTAAGTAACAAGTGCAGACTGACACTGTATTTGCTGTAAGTGTTCAATCAACAAGAGCTAGTTTGAAGGATTTTTTATACCTAAAAGAGTGTTTGCGAGGCCTCGAGTGTTGACGCCTGGCTCTGCCAGCTTAGTTTTGCAGGGGATATGGTAACTGTCATGGCAAGGCATCATTATGATGATGATAATAATAAAAATTAAAGCCAACCCTTTTTGCATCTATGCTTATTGGTTCTCTGTGTTTCGTAGGTTTGATGAAAGTATTTGATGTTATGGCAATATTATGTATGAAATTTATGTGAGGAGGCCTTCAAATGTTCAATTTTTGACCAATTTTAAGCATTATATGAGTGCTGTTTAATTTACAACTAGTGGAAGGCCCAGATTGCTACAAGTTTGTTTTGGACAACAAAAGAAAATATTTCCTCGATTGATGAACTGAAAATGTGTCTCTACACTATAGTGTTGAGAAACAGGCAGTAATGGAAGCAATTCACCCGATCTGAATTCTGTAACCCTGATTCTCAAGGATAGTTAATTTCTTTTTCTATCCTCCATGGTCATGTAAAATGTTTAACCATGTTCAAGTTGTTTTTTCTCTTACCATTGTGTATGATACTGTTACTTGATTTCACTGTTATATTTGTTCTTTCTGTTCTGTTAATTTCTTTATTGCTGGTTGAAATTCTGAGACTATTGTGTTGCATATGCAGTAGTGTTAGCTTTATATTGATCGCAGAATCTGTGATTCTATTATGGTTTACTGTTGGGATACTTGCAAAGATGCTGTTTGCATGCCTTGTAAAATGCGTTGAAAANCGATCGATCGTGTAGTAGTGGAGAGGCAGCACCGATTGAAGCTATCTGAGAAAAAATAAACAAAATTAGGTTANACTTAGTTTTGCAGGGGATATGGTAACTGTCATGGCAAGGCATCATTATGATGATAATAATAATAAAAATTAAAGCCAACCCTTTTTGCATCTATGCTTATTGGTTCTCTGTGTTTCGTAGGTTTGATGAAAGTATTTGATGTTATGGCAATATTATGTATGAAATTTATGTGAGGAGGCCTTCAAATGTTCAATTTTTGACCAATTTTAAGCATTATATGAGTGCTGTTTAATTTACAACTAGTGGAAGGCCCAGATTGCTACAAGTTTGTTTTGGACAACAAAAGAAAATATTTCCTCGATTGATGAACTGAAAATGTGTCTCTACACTATAGTGTTGAGAAACAGGCAGTAATGGAAGCAATTCACCCGATCTGAATTCTGTAACCCTGATTCTCAAGGATAGTTAATTTCTTTTTCTATCCTCCATGGTCATGTAAAATGTTTAACCATGTTCAAGTTGTTTTTTCTCTTACCATTGTGTATGATACTGTTACTTGATTTCACTGTTATATTTGTTCTTTCTGTTCTGTTAATTTCTTTATTGCTGGTTGAAATTCTGAGACTATTGTGTTGCATATGCAGTAGTGTTAGCTTTATATTGATCGCAGAATCTGTGATTCTATTATGGTTTACTGTTGGGATACTTGCAAAGATGCTGTTTGCATGCCTTGTAAAATGCGTTGAAAATGTCTCTCATGCATTTCTTTTTGTTAGATGTATTAAAATATTGTAATTTTATATTGGACATAANGAAATGTGTGTCATGCATTTCTTTTTGTTAGATGTATTAAAATATTGTAATTTTATATTGGACATAATAATTTATTTGTTGTCAGGGACTCCTCATATTGTTTATGTCATAACTTATAAGAATAAATTGAGATCATCTGTCTTTTTTCTCATTCACATACAAGCATACAGCTGTTCAGTGCTTTGCATGGCCTTATACCTGTATAACTTACATGAATAGTATGTTTAAATGATGAGTTTTAATCGTAACATACAATAAAATAAACTTATTTTGCAGGGAATTGTAACAGCTCCAATATTGTTTGCCATAGAGGAGTTTCCTGAATTGCGTTCAGTTGTTGATCGTGGGTTTGACAACCCTGCAAATGTGGATCTTGTAAGTTCCTACATTACACTGTAAATAGCACGAAATTTTAGTGCAAACCTATCTGTAGTGGTGGAGGTACAGTGTAGAAGTTGTGCAGATGTCCTATCGTTTAGCTATCAAACCTGTTCTGCACAAGTGGTAGGACCACATATGGATCTGCAGCGAAGAACTTAATGCAAATATAGGATTTTCCTTTTCTGTATTGAAGGTTAATGTTAACCATNTTTTGACAACCCTGCAAATGTGGATCTTGTAAGTTCCTACATTACACTGTAAATAGCACGAAATTTTTAGTGCAAACCTATCTGTAGTGCTGGAGGTACAGTGTAGAAGTTGTGCAGATGTCCTATCGTTTAGCTATCAAACCTGTTCTGCACAAGTGGTAGGACCACATATGGATCTGCAGCGAAGAACTTAATGCAAATATAGGATTTTCCTTTTCTGTATTGAAGGTAATGTTAACCATATCTGCAGAGTGGCAATGCTGGTGTTTCTACACTTTTAAGCATAGTTATTACTTTCGTACCATACGCGATACGCATCGTAAGATATGTTATGATACACCTGAAAAATGATACGTATTGTGTCTCGGTATCGTTTTTGTACCGTATCGTACGCTATGATACACCCGATACATGATGATTCTGTTTTTTTATTGTTTTTTTTATTTTTGTTTTTGTTTTTGTTNAATGTTAACCATATCTGCAGAGTGGCAATGCTGGTGTTTCTACACTTTTAAGCATAGTTATTACCAGTGTTATTTAAGGCGTTAAGCGAACCGAAGCGACCAAGGCTCTTAACGCCTANCATCGTTTTAGGACTTATTTTTAAATCACTAGCTAGTGAAACGTCGTTTCAATGATTATAGTTTTTAAAAAAAAATAAAATTTAATGTTAATGTTGTTCAATTAAATTCAAAATTCTTGATTAATGTTAAAGTTGTTCAAGCAGTTGATGTTAGAAATTTGAATTAGAGNTAGCGAGCAGTTAAAAAAATAAATAAATATTTTAGTGTAATTACTTATATACATCAAAGTTTTAATTTTATATATACTAAATATTTAAATACAAGTAAAACCATAAANGTTGTTCAAGCAGTTGATGTTAGAAATTTGAATTAGAGGCTTTTGCATTTTGACATTACTGAACTATGTTGGAAACTTGAATAGTTGGTGAAATATTAATGAAATATTATGTTATTATGAGTCTATGATTTTTTTATAAAGGTATATACATATATTTTATTAATAATTATTTAAAAATTAAAATTGTGTGTATCTTACGATACACGATACGATACANCCTTTTATGGGCATGATTGCTCATATTAAGTCCTTGCTTCGAAGGATTGGGAGTTTTATATTGCTTGCATAAAGATTTTACTATTTTACTATTTTGGAATTTGGGTTTATCATGGAGATTGGATGTAAAAGGCAGCTTACCTTTTATATATGGCTTTTGGAGTTTGTTTTTACAGCTGATATGCCTGATTTGCTTCGTGTAANTTAAGCACTTTTCCTGTCATTGCGTAAGAACTTGTGAATTCCAGATTGCTCTATAGCTTCAATTATATGCTGGAAAGGTTGTATGTTCCATAGACTACGTGAGCTGTGTGGGTAGCAGCAAGTATGGCTCAGATCTTATCCATTTTGAGTCGTCAAAATCCCCTCCGCCCTAAAAATATTATGACCATTATCTGGTTTTTGGAAAAGGAAAAGGAAATTTATCAACGTCATCATCGTCGTTATGATCATCATTATCTCCTTTTGTGTGTAGCTGTGGATGTGGGTCCTGTTGAAGTCCTCTTTTTTCTTTTGGTGACTTTCATTGTCATATGTTGTTTGTACTCTTTGCCACCTTGTTAAAGACTTAACTCTGCAAATTGGATTTTCCTAGGGTGGAAAAAAAAGCAAAAAGCATTCGTCAAATCTTGCAATATATTGTATTCAAAGCATTATAAATTATTGTGAATATTGAATTGTAACAAGCTTAGCCGAGTTAATAACGAAGTTCTATGGTAAGGTTGCTCCATTGTGACTTGAACGTTATGGGTTCAATTCGCAAAACAACTGCTCCGCATGCAGGGTTTAGGTTGCATATGTCTGATTTTCTTCAGACCTCATTATGGCAGCAGCTTCAAGCAGCAGACTGCACCTTTTTAATGTTGCAATGAGGCTGGATCAAATTGCTTTTAGCTCGCTTCTGATTTAGTGGTAACCATATTGAATACATGCTAGTTTAAGTCCACTAGAGGAGGTTGACAATTTTCTTTTTCTGATGTAGAATACTATCTTGTGACATGTGTTCTGCTGAATATCCCAAGACTAATTATCTTTCCTGGAGATCCTAAGCACACTTGAATATAGCGACCATGTCTTACTTTGTATCATTCATGCAAAATGGCCTTGCACGGTTGTTTGATCTCAATTTCATATGTTGCTACTTTATTTGACATAGGACATTTTGTATTGCCACAGTGATCTTGGCACTGTTTCTGCTTAATGTAACCCCCCCCCCCCTTCCCNGCTCCTCTGCCTCATCTGAAATTATATCTTCCTCATCTGTGAGTCCAGTCGTCGATCTTGTAAACCTTGGTGTTGCCCTAGTAGATGGTATTGATCTAGTCCGTTGGCTACTTTCCGTAACTCTAGAAGCTCGAGCGACTTCGCCCCAAGTCAAAGTATCATCACCAAACACAAGCTCATTATCTTCATCTGTGTCTGCATCCATTCTCCCAATCAACCACTCATTGCTATCATCAATATCCTTCAAAGATATTGGATCAATTGTGTCACGAGAATCAAATCGGCGCCTCAAAGCTCTATTATACTTAACAAACACCAAATCATTGAGACGGGATTGAGCTAGTCTATTTCTTTTTTTGGTGTGTATCTGCAATAATTTATTAACAATACATTAAAATTTATAATAAGATTAAAAAAAAATGTAATTGAAGAGGTTTGAGGATGATACTTACATGCTCAAACACACTCCAATTTCGCTCACAACCGGATGCACTACAAGTAAGGTTTAAAACTTTTTTTGCAAAGGTTTGCAAATTTGGAGTTGCAGACCCATATGCACTCCACCAATCAGCTGTGAATAATGAATAACAATTAATTAACTAACATATTTAAGCAATGATAATGAAATAAGCTTGTGGGATAACATAGATTNAAAAATTCCCAAATAAGGGTTGGTTTGATAATAATTCTCAAATCCAAGTAGTTTTAAAAACATTAGTTGGTCTGACGTTTTTGGCTTAAAGATGTCAGTCAGTTGGTCTAACGTTTTTTGCCTAAAAATGTCAGATCAATTACCGTTTTTAAGCTTGAGCAGTAACATTTCAGGGGCCTTAAAAAAGTCAGTGCAATTGACGTTTTAATTAAAAAGTCAGTTGTACTAACGTTTTTAAGTTGCACCTAGACCCCGATTTTTCTCACCTCTCTCCTTTCCTTTCTTTTATTTCCCTTCTTCCTCCCATCTGAGCCCTAATTTCAGTCGAGAGAAATTGAAATCTCACCATCATCACCATCGATCATCGCAGCACCACCATCACAGCACCACCATCGTAGCACCACCATGCAGCACCACCCACCACCACCCAACCATCGAAGCCCCAAATCCAAGCACCNTGGTTTTAAGGTTTGGAAAAGTGGCTTACATTTGAAAAACACAGGCTCTTGACTACCTTGGAAAGAGTCGTGGAATACAGAGAACAAGGGAGCTAGCAGCAAAGCATGCCAACCTTGCCTCGGCTTCAATTAATTCTCTGCCTGAGAGTGATGATGAGGATGTTCAGAAATCAAGGCGGGCTCTTATAGAGCTCACTCAAATAGTGATTAAAAGAACGAAGTAAGGAAAAATGAAGTTCGGGATAAGTTANAGCCCCAAATCCAAGCACCACCACCATCGAAGCCCACCCCATCACCACCCACCATCTGAAAGGCCCAATCCCTCAATCTGCACTATTGTTCCTCCATTGTACCGTTGACAGCGCCTCCACCACATCCGGTGAGACCTCTTTATTTATTGAATGAAAAACAATCGCATTATATGAAATTATTGAAATATTGAAATTCTATGAAAATATTTATTATTGAAATTCAAGTGTAGCAGGGGAGTTGGTGACTGAACAGGTGAAGNAACAGGACAGGAATTTGCAGAATTTTTTTTTCTGCTTTCTGCATTTGTTTCCTTGCCATGAGGGATGAATCCCTGATTTAATTCATGAAACATTCCTTTAATCTTTCCATTNCATTGTGCTGATTATCTGATATGACAAAATTCTAGGGATGGAGTCTTTTCAGTTAAAGCTGCATGGCATCTAATAAGGAAGAGGGGAGAGAAGAGCAGGGTTGCTGAAATTATTTGGAAAGTGCCCACAGCTCCTAGTGCCTAGTTGGTAGCTTGGAAACTGCTTCATAATGCTGTCTTTTGATTCCAGAATTCAGCAGCTTGGTATTCCGTTAGCAAGCAGGTGTGGTTTGTGTCTTAAGGAGATATAAAATACTGTTCATGTGTTAGTTGACTGTCCATATGCTGGTTCTATTTGGAGCAGATTTGCGGCTATTATTGGTTTTAAGATTATTGAAGCAGAAAATCCTCTGGTTAGGTGGCAGAGGATTTGTAGAATTTTTAGAAAGAATAGGGTTAGTCATAGTATTGTCAGAAGTGTGCCTTTGTTGATTTTCTGGCAAATTTGGAAAGAGAGGTGTCGCAGAAGGGCTGTGAGGATAAATTCCTATTCTGTTTTCTTAAAGATATGCAGTTTGCTAAGATTTCAAGTGAGGAATGTGAAAGCTCAAGTATGTGACGATGAAGTGGGAAGGATTATGCTAAAGACATTAGGTATGTTGGATTTATCCTGAGTCTGAGAAATTTAAATTGAATGTTGATGGTGCTGCGAAAGGAAATCCTGTGGTGGTGCAATTCTAAGGAATGAGTGGGGTGGTATGGTTTTGGCGGGGTCTCTTTTATGGTGTTTGTTCCAATATGGAGGCGGAGAATAGAGCTTTGATGGATGGTCTNAAACAACAAAAGAAGCAGAATCAGGACAGCAGTAGAATGCAACAACAAAAAAAAAACAGACGACTGAGGAAAAAAAAAATTGAAGCAGCACAGGAGCAATTTCATATTGACTGGACAGAAGCAGAATCAGGACAACAACACAAAAAAAAATTGAAAACACCATGATTTAAAATTTTCAGTCAGAAAATGAAAGTATAAGATAAAACGGTTTATTTAATTCATTCTCAATAAGTAAAAATGCTTGAATCCTTTTCCACACAAATGTATCTCGCCCCAAGGCACTTGGCCTCCGCAAGAACTGCAAGCACAGAAAAGGCCCCAGGTTTACTTATGCAGGCAATAGGCCAAGAATAGGGAAGCAATACCATTCCATGTAAAACGTCAAGTATCACTGCCTGCATTCTAGTCCAAAATACCATTGCAAGAACAATTGAATCTGTATGTTAAATTTAGTTCACCTATAATGATCATATCATGTGAGAGTGAGATGCCATCAAAGCTTAATTAAATTGTATTTCGGACTGGAGTTTCATTCACAATTT